CAATAAATATAAATGCAAGTTAAATACATGTGTCATGGAACCAAACTGCCAAATACCTGTATAGACAATCTATGACTGGCATCATAAAACAGCTTCAACTTACTCATAATATTAAGATAAGAAATCGATGTACATCTATTGCACAATTTTTGACATTAATGCAAAGAACTGTACATACACTTATTGTGAAACCACGCATTCTTGCGCGCGCGCGCGCACACACACACACACACACACACACACACACACACTCACACACACACATACACACACACGCGCACGCACGCACATACGCACACACATACATAAATAGACATATACGAATACATACAGTATATATACAAGCAGTAACACCTATTCCTGTGTTGCTAGTGCATGTTTACATTCCTTTTATTACGCACATATGTGAACAATAAATAAAAGGAGAGTTATCATTGAAAAATGTCTCCCTTTCAAATACTTGTTAAACACTCTTTACAGAGGGATCAAAGAGACACATTTATATATTCTGTTTATGCAATCCTTAATAACAAAGCTGGTCAGAGGAAGAGTTGTTAATGGGAGCGAAAATACAGCAAAGGTAAAGAGAGAGAACACGGACAGGTACGAGCGACAGTGTGACGTGACCAGGAAATGACAGAGTGATCATGAAAACAAATATTGTCTGATGGCACCGGAAAAAAAAATAAAAAAATAAATTAAACTGGCAGTTGCTGAATGCGACGATAATGATGAATCAGGCTGGCGAGGATGAGTAAACACCAACGCCAGAAGAAGGGAGGCTATTACTTCTATTGCCCCCTCCCCCCTCCCCCCCCTCCCTGACACCCAAACTCCTATTACTCCTCCCTCCTATTACACTCCCCCTCCCCCCCTCCCCCCTATCTGTGACCTGCCGGAGCGTCATGTTAGGCCTGGAAGATGATATTTATGACACGGAACACGGCCATTTGGCTTTGTTAATCTCTCGTAATCACCATCGTCCACGAGGCTTCGATATGCGAGGAAAACCCGTAAACAAAATCTCCCCGGCTGTGTTGTTATTAATGCTGCACGTGTTATGGTGTAAGGAATACATCGTCTTCCTTTTCTCTCTCTTTCTGTTTTATATATATATATATATATATATATATATATATATATATATATATATATATATATATATACAACAATATGCTCTTTTTTCTTTTTTCCTCCTCGGCCAGACACTGCAGCCAAGCCATCAGCCGAAGGACGGGGCGGTAGGCCGGGAGCTTTGGTGTAGGCCTATGGCGTTAAGAAGGTTTTCGTGTCGTCGAGGCTGCCCAACAGGCCTTGTTTGCTCCCCGGCGCCGCACTCACTTTTTTTCCTTGTTTTGCTTTCATGTTTACTTTTTATTGTTTTGCCTCGATTCGTGATACGGGGAAACCTCGGGTCTTTCATTGTTTTGTCGTTGCGCCATCATCAAGCGCGTTTCTTTCATTTCCTGCAGATGATCAGAGAGTTAAAAAAACAGATTAAGTAGAGAAACAGAATTTGAAAAAAAAAGAGAACTGGAACTGAAAACGGAAGGAACCGATATAATTTTATCAGCCTCATGTGGCAAAGACAAACGTTAATAGAGTCACAGCAGATTAAATAGACAAATAAACCTAAACAAAACAGACGAGGAAAGAAAAGAAGAAGACACGAATGAGAGAGAAAACGGAGGGCAAATCCGAAACAGAAATGAAGGGGGGACCAATATAATTTTCTCGACCTAATGTGGCGAAGGCGGAAGGGATCTCCACCCCGGGCACAGCGAGATCACATGTGCGCCAGAACATTAAGGAAGTCTCCAGATTTACAAGAGCTCAAGAATCAGATGAGGGAGCGTAAAAACTCAACTTGTGTATTCTTCCCTATTTGTCCTCCTCTCCCCTCCCTCCCCCCATTTTCTTCCCTCTTTCTTTCGTCTTCTTCCTGTCATTCCGGTTCTTCTAAGTTCTCTTTTCCTCTGTCTCTGTCTGCCTGCTTATCTGTCTGTCTGTCTGCCTGTCTCTGTCTGTCTGTCTGTCTGCCTGTCTTTCTGTCTCCTTCCCCCTTTCCTCTACCTCTGGTCCTCCCCATATCTCAGTAAAATGAGGGGTTGGGGTGAGGAGGAAAGGGAGGGGAGAGAGGGGTAGAAGAGGGGAGAGAGAGGGGAGAGAGAGTAATATAGTGAGGCCGGTTGGGGTTGAACGGGAGAAAAGTACTGCCGAATGAAGGCGCGGGACTCGAGATGGAGAGGGGCGTTTGGGCAGGATGTGCAAGATGGCATGTTCAGAGTAATGCAGAAGAACATAAGGTGTATATATAGCTTATTCTGAAAGTCGGGCCAAAGGACGGGGAGGAAGAAAGACAGGAAGAAAGGGAGGGAAAAAGGAGAGAGAGGAGAGAGAGAGAGAGGAGAGAGAGAGAGAGAGAGAGAGAGAGAGAGAGAGAGAGAGAGAGAGAGAGAGAGAGAGAGAGAGAGAGAAAAGAGAGAGAGAGAGGGGAATT